CACCTAGCGATGGCGGACTTTGTCAGCTCTCGTGGCGGCTCCCAACAGTCCAGGGTTTTGGAAGGCTGAAGCAGAAGAATCCCAAGTTTGAGGACAGTTCAGGCTATATAGCAAGATACGGGGGAGGGGAGAAAGGAGAAGAGAGTAGGGGCTGGGAAGAGGGAGGGAGGCAGACAGACAGAGGATCCCTGAGAGAGGATAGAGGGGGACAGAAGACACCACAGATTATTGAAAAGAGCTTTATTTAGTATACAATCTCCACACAATTCAGTTATAAAAGCTCTTTGTAAGGTTTTCCCCTACAGATGCCACACACAGGCAATGCCCCTACCTGATAACAGGCCCAGCTCTGTACCTATGAGCCACCCACCCAGGTTCCGGCTTAGATGTTAGAGGGGCCGTGGTGAGCTCGTAGATACTTCTATGAAGGAATTTAAGCTCACACATCTCCTTCCTTTTAATCCCTCTGATAGCTAATAATTTTTCTGGTCACATTTTTATTTAAAAATAAAGGTCTTCCTTTTACTTTTACTTATTTGTCTGTATATGAAGAAGGCTGGGTCCCTTGGAGCCAGAGTTATAGGCAGTTGTGAACTGACACACATGGGTGCCGAGAACCAAGCTATACAAGAGACAGGCACACATAACAACTGAACCGTCTTTGCAGACACAAGCAAGTTAAACTTAAAAGCAATTTTGATGAGCAACCCGCCTTGTCAAAGCATTTAAGATTTTTGCAAAATTATCTCTTTTTCTGTCTGTCTGCTGCAGTGCTGGGATCAAGCCCAGGGTTTGTTCGATGCCAGGCACACACTCTTCTCTCAATTCACACCCATGGTCCTCTTGTGGTTGGGGCTCTAAACTCACAATCAGCAGCAGAAGGTGCACCCAGACATCCGGGGTGGGCTGCCACTGACTGGAGCATGGTACCAGGAAACACAAGGCAGCGGCTGCCTGCTGGATTGCAGCAGGCAGCTCCCGAGAGGGCTGGAGACTGGAGGCTCTGAGGAGTCAGAAGTGGAGTTAAGAGCACTTCTGTTGTACTTAGAGGTTCTTCTGGAAACTCAGAAGCAAAGCCTAGTGCTTGCTCTATTCAGAGCCACAACTGAACACTATTACCAACAGTCCCCAGGGCCCGCACAACACAAAGTGAGGGCTACAGGCACTGGCTTCTGCTTGCACGGTGTGGAGGTTATGGCCAAGGGTGGATCTGTTCTCCTCCTGTGTGCTCAAAGACAAGGTCATAAGCTGGACTCCTCACCAGAGCTAAAATTACCAAACACGATTTGCTGAAAGGTTTGGTTAGCGAGAGCGTCAGGAGCCATGTTGTCTGTTTCTGTGAGAGCCTGCCTGGCAGGCAGTCAGGGCAGCTCAGGGTCTGTGGCAGACTTCCTGGCCTGCTGATACATGGAATAAGAGAGGATACACTTGAGGCTCAAGGCCAGGGGTTGAATGTTCTGTTAAACTTATAGGAAGGAACAGGGAGGCCTCCTGATAGGAACAGATATCCCGTGTGTACTTCAGCCACTGTTTCTGCTAGCTTATAACTTTGTTTCCCATGCCACTGTGAAGTATAAAAAGGGCAAGAAAAGTAAACTTGAGGCTGATTGTGGTATTGACCTGCAGCCCTCCCAATTCTAACTTTTGTCTGTGAGTCTTCTTCCCGTCTTTCCTATAATCATCCTCACTCCCACCTCAGAGGACTGTTCCACCGGCTTTCAAGGACAAGTTAGTTACAGAGAAAATCCAACAGCTGCAAAATGCTTTTACTTTGCTGTGTCTGCGCAAGTGCAGAAATCACAGGCTCAACAGGCTCAGGGGGAGATCTTGGAACCACCAGAGTAGATTCCTAAACTGAGAGCCAGTAAAACCCCAAGTGTCATAGCTGGACTGGACCGCCCTACAGAGGCGGAGCTGCCAGTTGTAGGAGTGGTGAGAAAGCCATCTGACCCGGAGAGAGGCGGCCAAAAGAGGAGAGATGTCCAGGGATTTCATTTTGCATTTCCGGCTATAGAACAGGTCAGTCTTCAAGGTAACAGAGTCAGAGTTTATCAGCCTCTTCCGTTTACACAGTTAAAGGAATTAAAATCTGGTTGTGCACAATAGTATGGCCGGCAGCCCCATTTACTCAGGCTATGAGTCACTGTTCACAGAGGCCCTCCCTCCTGAGGATTGAAAACCACTGGGGGCAGGGGGTGCTTGTCAGGAGGAGATTTTTTATTACGGAAATCATAATTAGCTGAATACTGCCGGTCAGGCACAACAGACACTGATTATGTTTCAGATACCAGCAGGGGAGGGAACAGTATTGCGAGACTGCTCCACAGTTAAATTTTGACCCAGCTGTCTATGAATAAGTTAATGATGCAGCTAAGAAAGCCTGGGCTAAGCTACCTTCTACAGGGAGGCAGACTGAGGATTTAGCTAAAATCAGGCAAGGTCCAGATGTGTAGTTTCAAGATTTTGTGGCCGGGTTGCTGCTGACAGTGAGCAGACCTACGGGGGATACTGAGGCAGTATTTTATAAGATGGATAAAAGTCTAATTATTTTAACCAAATATTTACATTTTTTTAAAATATAGAATTTATTTTTTTTTAAAGAAAGAAAAATGTGTTCTAACATTGTCCTGTACATATCACAGTGTCACGGGAGAGCGCTGTGGAAGACTGGTTTTTGGCACTTCTCACTGTGGTTTGGCGGTGATGGTGCAGTGGAGACAGAGTGCCCGCGAGCACGAATGTTACCTCGGTGAGGATGTACATCCACGACTCTTGGCTCACAAGACGCCAAACACCAAGTGCACATAGGAATGCTTAACATAAATGCAAACTCACCCACAAAGTAACTGTCACCGGGTCCCAACGCCTTGTGCCTTATCTACGCCTGCTTTCCCTTAAGAATAAGGCACTGGCCCAGAATGTTCCATCAGTGCCGGCAGTGGTGGGCATGCAGCACTGCAGCTTCATTAAAGTTCTAGCACTGACGAATGTGTTTCCTTGTTGTGTTCCCCCTAACTGCGGTGGTCTCCTAACCTCATTAAGGGGTACGGAAAAGGCTGGATTCCAAAGTCCCAATGCCTTAATTTAATAACCTAGCTGTTGATGTCTTATTTGAGTTTTACATAAAAACCCCACACCTGGTGAGACAATGGAACACAGTTTTGAATGCCACTCAAGCAGCAACCAACCCGTGGGTCATCGGAGGCGGATCGTTGGAGCACATGGTGCTCTCCGGCCGATGTTCCAGGGGGATTTATTACACTAACGGTTGAGGAGAAACATTTAAATCACTTCCAAATGGCAGGAGCGGGAGGGAAAGTTAATTTCATTAGCTATCTTGATTTAATTAAGTGGACAATGTGCCTGTATCAGCAGCTTGTACATGGCCCCCACCATTAGAAATGAATTATAAAAGCAATTCTCAAAAACTCTGAGCAGGTACGCCAACCCCTCTCCGCCGCTTACAGTGCGGCCTGGAGGCACTTGGTCACCTCGTAGGGAGGGATGCGATGTCTCCAGGGTTGAGAAGGAAGACTGGAGACCAGAGGTCAAAGAGTATGGAGTGCCACATAGAACTCTAGGAGTCAAGGTACAGCATCTAAAACAGCCTCAGACTTTGCAAGTTTCTAGGCTATGAAGAAAAAAAAATACAAAGGCTAAAACCACAGAAGTTTACCAAGTTTTGCAGACCCGGTAAATTGAAGTGAGTGAGAACTGAAGCAGAAGCTATTTTCCCTACAGGAGAGATTAAAAAGCATGAGTGCATTCCCTCAAAGACTTCTAGTGTAAGCTGACACACTTTGCTTTCTTGAGACAGGGTCTCTTTACATCGCTGTGGCTGGCCCAGAATTCACTATATAGACCGGGCTGGCCTCGAACTCTCAAAGAGATTTGCCTGCCCCTGCCTGCGAGTGCTGGGATTAAAGGAGTGCGTCACCATGCCTGGCCCGGTAGCACCCCAACTGCTGTGCCCAGAATTAAAACAAACACACTCTCTAAATGTGTTACACACTACTGTGCATGTGACATTTTGGAGCACAAATGAAATATTTAAGGTTCAGAGACCTAAAATAATTTGTTTCTTCACACGTGTGAAAGCATGGTAAACTGGAAATTTTATAAAACTTTAACAAGACAGGACAACAAACTGTTAGAAAGCCACCAAGCGGTCTCAGTGGTGAAGAAATGTCAGTAACTGAACTGTGCAGACTGTCAACTATACTCGCTCACTGCTGGCTCAGGGGCACCGAAAATCACAAATATTTCAGATCTCAAACGGGCTCTCACTTCCCAGGTCACCCAGTGGGTCACACAAAATTCCCTCAATGACAAAATCCCTGGCCAGCCTTGGGCAGGTATACCTGTGAGGCTAAGAACACTCACAGAAAAGACAGAGACAGGACAGAAAAGGCTGACGTTAGCGGAAGGCGTTTCCAATGATGATGGCAGGACTTGTCTGCAGGCCGCCTGCAATGGTAGCATTCAAGTCCCTTTCCTGACTCACGGACACGGACTCCACCGGTTGTAGATGCACTGTGGCTTTAAGAATGGAGATGGTTATTTGTTTCTGGAAAGCTTGTAGACATGGAATGTCTTGTTCTGGAATACTCTCGTGAAGTGGGCTGTGTAGGAGGGCAGGTTTCTTTTAATCTCTTCACAGAAGCGAGGGTGATCTGCAGGTCTCAAGTCAGGGTCACTTTCTCCTGGCCCATCCATCTCCTGAAAACAAAACAAACCCAGATACAACGTGAGTGGTGGTGGTGGATCCCATCCACCCACTCATCCATCCACCCACCCACCCATCTAAGTATCTACCGAACCATCCTGGCTTTTGTTTATTGCTTTGTTTAACTTTTAAAACAGAGTCTCTTTTTGTAGCCCTAGGTATCCTGGAACTCCATATATATATCTGCCTGCCTCTATCCTGAGTGCTGGGATTAAAGGTGTGCACCACTACGTTCAGCCCATATTCTGGGTCTCAGGGGTAGGGGACAGGACCTCACTATGTAGCCAGGTTGGGCTAGAACTCTTAATCCTCCAATTCTAGCTTCATGAATGCTGGCACTGAAAGTGTCTGTCACCAACACTCACTGGAAAAAAAGAATCAATGTCAATACCACTTGGAGATCAGATAGACGGTCCACCTCCCTCCCCTCCTCCAAAGAGCAAACCAAGGTTGGAAAGAACTGTGTCCTGACATTTGCCACTGTTAATGGCAGGACAGAACCAAAACTCAAGATCTTCTTATGCTCTGGTTAGTCTTTTGTCAACTTGACAAAATCATCTGAGAAGAGAGAATGATATTTTGATTCCCCATAATCGAGCCAATGGGGCATTCTGCTGGTTGAAGTGGGAGGGACCAGCCTACTATGAGTGGTGGGCGCCACCCCTGGGCTGCTGGTCCCGGATGGTATAAAAAAACAAGTAAGCCATGGAGAGCAAGACAGTGCGCAGTCTTCTATAGTCTCTGACTTCCCTACATGACAGACTGAGAGTTGTGAGATGAAATAAAGCCTTCCTTCTCCAGGTTGCTTTAAAATCATGATGTTTATCACAGCATTAAAAAGCTAACTGAGTCACCCCGTCCCTAGAAGCATACTGCCCTGTCCTGTCCACAAACGTTAAACACAAAGAACTACAAAAGTAACTGGAGAAATTTCCCCAGCTCAGAGGTGGAGGAAAAGCAACACACCCAGGCTCACATGCATGTGTTCTGCTCATCCTCTGAGTTTAAGGCACTTACGGCTTATTGCTCTGCTTGGCAAAGTTCTGACGCTAACTCTGCACCTTCAGCGTGCTTTCGGATTTAGCCTAGTCTCCACTGTTGGCTTCTGTGCCATCAGTGACACCACAGCCCGAAAGGGACAAAGAAAGACCCCCGTTTACTGTGAACTGGCTCAGCTCCAAGGGAGACACAGCATGTTCTGCTGTGGAGGGCGAGCTTAGCCATCCTGAGGCTGTCTGTGGATGGTGGACAAGAGGAAGCAGGATGTGTGGGCCACAGGGCCTGGGAAAAAGGGATGGCCCACTGCTTGACACTTAAGAGATGTGCCAACAGGGTGCCCTGGGGCAGTGTGTTTATAGGCAGATGCGTTGTACAGAGCAGAAAAGTATCCTTTACAAATAAACTTTATGCAGTGATGTATCATGCAAACCTGCCAAAGGCAGAGGTGCTCTACCTGAGTCAAACTGGGAATCCAGAGCTTTCCCGTCCCCTAGCCCAGGCCCCGATGTCACTAAAGAGTGGGACCTTTTACAAATGTCTGACTCGTAATGTCATTCACACCTATGGTATAAAGTGAGGTACATCACTTGGGACTCGTGCTGGATTTCCACCCTCTCTGAGAGCTCCCCAAAGCGAAGTAGCAACGTGCTCACATGTCCGTTGGCGACGTCCAGCAAGTCACGCAGCCGGCAGCCCCTGTGGTGTCTGCGTTCGTAGCAGATGCTGTCTTCCAGGATCACGAAGTCAGTGCCAAAGGACCTCAGGAGCTCGTGCACTTCCTCCGGGGACCTCTTCGCATATATCTGATAAACCTTCAAAATGAGATTAAAAATGGAACCGTGCACACAGCCCTCAGGTGCGTGGGGGTCAGTAGAGGAAGAGAGGGAACATCCCTGGGGGTGGTGATGCTAAGACCTGACACTCATATCCCTTTGCTGCCCGGGCTACTCTTATCCTGTCAATTCGTCTGGAGTTGGGGGTATGTGTGGAGAATTGAACATGTCTAGCTTAGATGCCAAACAGACTTAGATTCAGAGTGAGTTATTTTATAATTCTAAGAATTATTAAACATGGCTGAGTCTACCAGACAATCAACCAGGCTGGTGGTTCTGTTTGGGCACACGTATATCTAAGGCCTGGCTTCCCACAATGGCAAGTGGAAAAGGGCGGCTGGCCTCCGTTGGCGCAGGTCTTGTTGCTTTCTGGCTGTTACATTGTATTCTGCAAGCCAGCAGGCCCAGCGGTTTACCCTCCACCTCAACTCTTTCCCTGGAGAATTTCCCAGGGAGTCTTCTCCAGGGGCGTTCTGCCCCCTTCAAGTTCACCACAATGCACCCTGAGCAAACACTTCTGGGAAAAGTTAGCTTGGAACGCAGCACCAAGCTGCGTGATACTTGGCTGTGTGTGAAGGCCTGATGACCCAGATGAGGCACTCACAGGGACAGGTGAGATGAGAGGGCTATCTGCCTCCTGAGAAGGCAGAGGGGAGTTAGGATACGGGGGGATGAGGTGAACATGTTTCAGGCCATTCCCTTCTGCATGCTCTGAACTTTGAACTACATGACTGTATCATCTATTTAAATAAACAGCAACAGTAAACACCCCAACACTGCCCTGCCTCACCAGAAATGGCCCAGAGCTGACTCATGAGACACAATCAGTATGTCTCTGTTTCTGTTCCTTTCCTTCCCAGATCACAAGCTCTAGTGGCTTTGGCCTAAACACTGCCTCCCACAAATACAGGATGTTTATCCTCTCAGCCCTTTCCCTACCTAAGAGCAACATGTGCTTGCACCCAGCCCTTCTAAGGCAGAATCAGGAGTTGCCAGCCCCATGGCTTTTATGCTCTGGCCCCTTTTCCTGGCACAGGAGGCCTGCCCTCTGCCCTTGCTGGCAGTACAGGGCCCCGAGGAGTGAGCACAGGTGAGGATGGGCCTTACCGCCTGGGTCCGCTCTCTCAGACTCTTATCTTCATAGTGTGGGTGGTTGGTGAGGGTCCGTCCTGTGCACAGCTTGACTCCGGCCAGCAACTGCATGCTTCCAGCGAACACGGCCTTCCTTGGTGTGTTAGAGCTACGAGGTGTCAGAGTGTGAATTAACCCAACACTAAGATTCCCAAGTAGACATCCCCCGGCCCCATCAGATTCACTCAGCTCTGCAGGGGTGTCTGAAGTGTGTGTGTGTGTATGGGGCACACAGATGAACGGAACTGAGTTACATCCAAGGTATTGTATGTGCACTTTAATTATTTACCTACTGACACATTCTCATGGTATGTAGCCCAGGCTTGCCTCGAACTCAAGATCTTCCTGCCTTAGCTTCAGCCAGTTTCCTATCTGTTCTCTGTTCATTAGGACTGAGGCTGGGGAGCACCTAGCTTTCCAATGTGAAGGGTTGGTCTTTAGGATGGACTGTTTAAGGAAGCAGGCAGCTAGCTCCTGAGCCTAGCATCTCTGTACCATCATCTGCTGCTGCTTCCCAGAGAGGTGGAGTCTAACAAAGACCTCAGGCTGCTGAGCTAAAGGGCGGCTGAGAGTAAAGGCAAGGAAGGAGAAGTGCCTGGAGAGGTGGCTCAGTAGTTAAAGGACACTGGCTGTTCTTGCAGGGTACTCAGGTTCAGTTCCCTGCACCCACTCACCATCTCACAGCCAACAGTAACTCCCAGAGGATATGATTCCTCAAGTAATGTATGCATATAATACATATACGTGTACCATGCATACATACACGCACACACACACATATACATGCAGAAACTCATACACAAAAAAGTAAAAAAAATAAAATAAATGAGGTGTCAGAAAACTGCAGTTGATCAGGACTCAATTTCATGGGGTTAAAACAGCAAAATTATACAAACAATAATTTAGTATGACTAAATGATATTTAAAGAAAAAAAGCTCTGTTAACATTAACACAGAAGTTGGGAAGAAGCGTCTAAACAGTCACCTATTACTAAGAGAGGATGTACATTATTTCTGACATGGGAACGTTCTTCTGTTTCCTGATAAACAAGCTATAAACCCAAAGCTTAGGCAACATCATCCCATGAGCTCATTTTCCAATGAGCACCGAGCTCCAGCCTCTGCTTTCTAGGGGGCTGTGACGGAGAACACAGGAAAAGACACCACGTGGAAGGTACGTCCCTTCTCATGGCCCTGGAGAGAAAGGATCTTTTCTTCTTCTTTTAAATTTTCACACCAAGTCTCGCCATTAGCCCAGGCTAGCTTCAAAATCACCATCCTGTTGTTTCAGCTTCTTGTGTGATGGGCTGACAGATGGGTTGGCCAAATTAAGAGCCTCAGTAGCTGACTTACTGTGCCTCCCCCTCTCTCTGAGGGAAAGTGGGGAACTGCTATTGGGGACTCCAGCCTCTGCCCTAAAAGGGGATTCTCTAGATGCTTACTAGGACTATCCCAAGATATGTTTATTTTTGAGTTAAGAAACAGGGTGGGGAGGTGTTTCTGGTATGGCTGCACACACCCCTTTAATCCCAGCACTCTGGAGACAGGTAGGTAGGTGGCTGTGAGTTCAAGGCCAGCCTGGTTCAAATAGCCAGTCCCTGGGCAGCCATCACTACATAGTAAGACCTTGTCTCAAAAACAAACAAAAGACTTAAGAAGAGAAGAAGTAAGAGGCTTTGCTGATTTGAACTAAAATGGTGGAGGCAATCATGAAGGCTATTTGAAATTTAAAAAGAAATCTGGAGCTGGCTGTTGAAGTCTGCAGGAAGCAAGGCCTGCAGCCTGCTCTGCACAGGGGACGCCTTTTCACATTCCTATCCGTTCTCCAACTCAACGCTAAGAATACAGCTTGGATGCAGGCCAGCAAAGGCCTATGGGTGTCTGGGGGGCAAGACACACCAGGCTTCGAGTGATGACACTTAGAGCTAAGTTACTTTTAGAAAATTCGAGGTTTCTCTCTAACGGTGACATCCATCTACTGCCACGTTCCAATAAGGATTCTCGGGCGAGGGAAGTGAAGCGGATGGAATTACAATGAGTGAAGAAGGACTGACAGACACGTCTGCACCCTCCCTCGCCCTCCCTGAAGTTTAAGTCTGCTTTCCAACAGAGAAAAAAGTTTAGCAGGAGCTTGGCTGGCCTGATGGGCTTGTCAGTATCCTAACCGGCAGATTCGGGAACACAGAACGGACAGACGTTTGCGATCCCCCCCCCCCCAGATCTGCAATTTACAGGGACGTCTGACACTGGTCCCGCGTGGTCAGAGGAGCGGGAGGGCTATGAAAGCACGGGAGGGTTTAAATAAAGGCATGCGTAGGTAGAGAATTCCTTAGGGCGAGAACTTGGGCAAATTCAGTCTACTTCAATCAATGCTCAACTTAGCACTCATCCTGGACCGGGTCTATCTTCCTATCCTATGTTTATAGTCTAAATTAGAGTCACAGTCTAAATTCTAGACCGCATCACCGTTGCTAAAAGGAATATGTATGAACGAATGGCCGGTCTTCAGTCCCCTTGTATCCCCTCGATGAGATAAAACACCCCACTGTAATTAGCCCAGCGTGACTATCGTCTGCCTGACATAGGTTTAGAACACACGGAGAAAGGAGCCTGCTTTCCACGTATGGCGGAGCAGGAAGTGGAGGCAGCTCCAGTTTCATTTAGTCTTGAGCTGCCAAGCTTCAGCAGGTAAATTACCGCTGAACTAAGGGGCAAACTTCAAAAATGAGCACTTCAAAAAAATTTATAAAATTATGAAGATAGGAGAAATGGTTCATTAAATAAAAAAGGCTTGGGCAGGGGACTAGAGTAGTTAAGAGCACTGGCTGCTCTTCCAGAGGACTCTGGTTCAATTCCCAACAACCACATGGAGTACACATGTCTGTAACTACAGTTCCGGGGATCTGATGTTCCCCTTTTGGCCTCTGAAGACACTGCACACATCTGGTATGGTGTACATATATATAGGCGGGCAAACGTTCATACACATTTAGTAAGAGGTTCACTTAACACTAACCTTGGGCCGGGCGGTAGTGGTGCACGCCTTTAATCCCAGCACTTGGGAGGCAGACAGAGGCAGGCGGATTTCTGAGTTCGAGGCCAGCCTGGTCTACAGAGTGAGTTCCAAAACCAAAACCAAAACCAAACCAAAAAAAAAAAAACCAAAAAAAAAACCAACAAAAAAACCCCACTAATCGTGGATCAGACTTAAAGTCTGAACTTAGAGAACATTTTCTTTAAAACATACAACAGCTCTTCCTACTTTGATTAAAAGCAAAAGAAATTCGGTGTGTGCTTTTCAGTTGTGCTGAGACCATTCTCAACATGGCTTTTTGACTGCAAACACAGTACTTCTAGCGAAAATCTCCTAAAGGCAAAGAAAAGGCCACTCCTCAAAATATTCCCAACCACAGATCTCCATCAGTTGCATAATGAGAATTTCCAGGTTACATTTATTCCAGGATAGACGGGCACAAGGCAGACAGCCAGGGGCTCCAGGTGGGCTCTAAGTGGAGATGACAGCCCCCAACCCTGGGAGGCTGCTGGAGCTGCTGAGGGACCTGGCCTCCACAAAAGGTCCTTGTGAACTAACATGTCTTTATATAAATGTAGGTAATTAAAATCTCCCGAGTGCTATGGCACAAAGCCAGGGCTAGAGAGAAAGACCCCATCTGGAAGGAAGGACAGGATGAAGGAGGGAGAAAAAGACAAGACCTGCTTTCTTGTTTGTTTGAGACGAGGTCTCATGCATCCCTGGCTGACCTCCAACTCGACGTATGGCTGAGGATGACCTTGGACGATCACTATCCCTGGTTCCACTTCAAAGTGCTAAGAATACAGACTTGGGTCTTTGAAGTGGCTCAGGCTGGCCTTGATCTCACTTTGGAGCCTTTAATGTTGCTCTTCCTGACTCTGCCTTCCAAGTAGATGGGGTTACAGGCCTGGTTTATGTATGTCACTGTCTGTTCCACTAGGAAACTAAATGTCAAACACATTATGTGCACACCCATGGAGCTCCTACAAACTGTGAAATTGAGCAAAGAGTATAGGGTCCTCAGCAGAGCAGGCCCAGAGGCCCATCTGCTGCCATGAGGGGGCAGCCACCAGTGTTCACACGTGTACCTGGGTGTGTGCTGTGTGTGCGCCGCCTGTGCTGCTGATCTCAAGTAGGAGCAGTTGAGCTGTACCATTAAGTATTCACCTTCTGCTGTGAAAGGGCTTTGTAACTTAAAGGCTCTCAGTGTTTTCGTAGCACTACTGTGAAGTAGGTTCCTGCGGGTCTCTGTCTAGTGTATAGAAAATCTCAGCTGGGCTCCCTGAAAAGATGAGACAGTCACCAACTCCCACCGAGGTGATGGTAACTTTCAATGTGTCCTCAGCTGACAGTCCTTAGCCCACAAGTAGGAGGCCCAGAGCAGGTGTGGGGCTCCCACACATCTGAGAGTGGGGGTTGGGTGGTGACTGATGGATAAGCATCCTCTCCACACTTGGTATCAGAGTCTTCTTACGCTAGCATGGAAGACCACTGAATGTGTCCCCTGAAGCCAGGAGTCTTCCCTGGCCCTAGCCGACACCATTGAGACTGCAATGACACAGGAGAGCTCCGGAGGACAGATTAGTCAGCATGGCAGGAGTGCAGGCACCCCTCAGTGACCGTGTTGGGGCCCAGCTGCAGTCTTCTCCTGGCAGCACACACACCCTGTGACCAGTCTCCACTACGGAGCCAAAGTAGACACAAGAACTCAGAGGTTAAGAGAATATTTAAGTGGGATACGGTGGTACAGGCCTGTTAAGTCTGGCTACCCAGAAGGCTGAGGCCAGAGGCTCCAAGTTCAAAGCCTGCTTGGGCTACAGAGTGAGTTCAAGACCAGCCTGGGCAACTGAGTGTGTCTCTTCCTCAAATAAAAGAGAGGTCTGAGGCTAGCACTCAGTAGTAAAGTGATGTTTGCCTAGTGTGCACGAAGCCCTAGGCTCAACTTCCAGTGCTAAAAATGTAAGAATATTAAACGTATTCCCTGACAGAGAGAATCAAGCCTGCAGACCGCAGCTGATTTGAATGTTGATTTAAACAAACACATTTTGTGACTAAATAGACCCTACTTTGGCATACATTCACCATCACTTAAGTTTAATTTACAAACATGCCAAGCAGCTATTTTTACAAAAAAAAAAAAAAGATCGTTTTGATTTGAGGAATTTTAAGGGAAAACAGACAAGATTAGATGACAATGGAACCGGTATTTTTAGAACAATATGAATCTTTCAGTTGCTGAGAAATTAAAAAAAAAAGGAAAGAAAGAAAAAAAGAAAGTAGTAGTAGAAGAAGAAAGCCAAAACAAGCTGAAGGAGCATGCTGACAAAGAGGCTGCCCCAGGAGAGGCGTTGTTAGCTGCCAGGACTCTACCGAGGCCAGTCCCCAGCAGGGAGGAGCACCCTGGTGCTGCCTTCTTTATACTCGGATATTGTCTCACCTATACTTTTGCAGAGCCAGAAATATTGCTTTATATAGTTTTTTTGAGAGAAAAAAACTAGAAAGCAAATGTTGAGTCTGAGGCAGTCAGAGAGGAACTTGGGCTCCACTGTAATCGTCTGGGCTATCATAACTTCTGCAAGTCAGGGAACACAGGAAAAGACGCTAAGGGCGGTAGGCCAGGGCGAGGTCCACCATCTATACGATGCCTCCTATAGCATTTCCTTCAATAGTGTCAGATCACAAACGCAGAGGACCAGGGCTGGGGATGGCTCCGTGGCTGAGAGCATTTGCTGCTCTTCCAGAGGATCTGAGCTCAATTCCTAGCACACATGTTGGTGGCTCAAAATACCCTACAACCTTAGCTCTAGGGGATCCAACACCCTTTTCTAGATTCTGTAGGTACCCCCTACACACACACACACACAAAGCACACATCCCCACATGCATATAACAAAGACAAAGTAAATCTTTAAAAAAATATAGGCCGAAAGGGCCAGCCTTGCTTTCATATGCATGTGTTATAAATATCTAATTGATTAGCCAGTACAAAAGTAATTAGCTTTTCTTTATATGAATAAATAACCTTTTCCTATTTACAATAAATACTGAAAGCAGTGCCTACTCCAGGATTACCCGTCATGATTTAAAGTTAATAAGTAAAGATGAAATGCTGTTCCCCGCTAGAAACACGCCAAAACTTATACTCATGTCCAGTCAAATTCAGTCTGATGCTGAGACAAACCCACACAGACCTTTAAGTCTCTATAAAACCCATGCATGGTCGGTCCTCAGGAGACCTAAGCTACCAAGCAGCTGCTGTCTCTGAAGTCGAAGCAGCGTTGACCGGTACTGGCCAGTAAGCACTGTCATGACGGGTACCCTCCAGGCTGCTGCTAAAACCCTGAGTGGTGGAGAGACAGCAGATGACGCCTTCGAGGCTCACCTGGGGTGTACAGGTGACTTTTACCGGGGGCACACAGGTAACCTGTGCTTATGAAACAGGAGAGCTTGCTCTACAGGGCTCGGGCGTGCTGCTCGGGTAGGAAAGTTTGTTCTGCTAGCCAGAGTCACAGTCCCTTTGAAACACACCACTGTCTATCATCCTGACGCTGGAGGCTGAAGTAAAGCAACCAAGTGTGGGCAAAAGAAAGAAAAAAAGGAAAGCAAAACAAACTAACAGAAAGAAAAGGAAGAAAGAGACAAAGGAAAAGAAAAAAACAAACCCACCACCACCACCATCATTCCACCCCCAGCAACAACAACAAACCCAAAACTAAGAACAATATCACACCAGGGTATTCTGATGTCGTTCTGTATGTGAAAATCAGCTCTATGGGCTAGCGAGATGACACAGTGGCTGAGAGCACTCGTTCTTTTAGAGACCCTGGCTCAATTCTGAGCACCCGCAAGACGGCTCACAACCATTGAGGGCACTGAGGGCACCCGACATGCACGCAGACGAAACATCCATACGCATAAAGATATAATTAAAACAATTTTAAGAAGAAAAAAATGCCTTACTTTCTAATTAATTAATTTTTAAAAATTTGAGACAGGGTCTTTCTGTAGATGAAGAAGCTGGCCTTGAACTCACAGACATCCACCTGCCTCTACCTTCCAAACGCAGGGATTTAAGGCATGCACTCCTATGTCCAGCTAAGAAAAATGTTTTCAATAGAACAAGATGAAATTTTCTCTAAGCCAAGGACTTAGGCTGCAGTGAGCTCTGATTCGGAAACAAGGAGAGGACATTTTCATGTGTGGAGTATTAACAGCAAATACAAACAGGATTCAGCTGAAAACAATAAAGATAAAAAAAAAAGCAAAAAGCAGAAATGTGAGTGATGTAAACTTTTAAGTAGGTGTGTGCATCTATGTGGTGGCACGGGCATGTGAATGTGGTTGTTTGGGGGAGGCCAGCAATTGGATGCCCTGAAACTAGAGTTACTGGTGGCTGCAAGCATCCAGGGGTGGGCGCTAGGACCTGAACTTGGGTCTTGGGCAAGAGCAGTGCATGCTCGCAATGGCTAAGCCTCGTGGGTAAATAAAACTTTACCCTTGCTTCTGCTGCTTTTGGGAGTTTATTTTCTGATCCCATTTTTCCACTTCCAAATGAGTGTTTTCTTTCCTTCAGGGAATGCGGCTGCAGAGAATCCTCCTGTTGTTTAAAGTCAGGGTCTTGCTATGTAGCCTAGGCTGGCCTTGAAACTCATGGCCTCTGCCTCTGCCTAGGTGCTGGAATTACAAGTGTGTGCACTACCGCACTCAGCTAGGACAGTTCTTGAAAGGAAGAGTTCCTTTCAAATTCATAGTTTTAAAGAAAAGCCTGACTAAAAAAAGGATGTTTCTTACATATTAGAAAATAAACAGGGCTGGAGAGATGGCTCAGCGGTTAAGAGCACTGACTGCTCTTCCAGAGGTCCTGAGTTCAAATCCCAGCAACCACATGGTGGCTCACAACCATCCGTAATGAGATTGGATGCCCTCTTCTGGTATGTCTGAAGACAGCTACAGTATATTCATAAATAAAATAAATAAATAAATCTTTAAAAAAAAAAAAAAAAAAAAAGAAAATAAACAAACTTTCCCCTCAAACAAATGAGATCTACAGTTGACTTTACAAGGGCATTCAAGGTTTCAAAGTTAAGAAGAAAAAGTTCCTCTTACTTAATCCAGTTCATCAGTTCCACTGTATCTGGGTCATAGAATTCTTTCAACTCGGAGAGTTCATCCATCATTCCTGGCCAGGACTGAAATTAAAAACAAAACAAAAACAAAAATGCACCCCTGTAGCTGTCACTAAGATTAAGTAACAGAGAAAGAGAAACTGTGTATGATGTACTCAGGGGGCAAACACCAAGGGCAGCCGCAGCCCAGAGTGGCTTTACCTCTGCGCCAGTCTGCACAGGCAAGCCGGAGGCCTGAGACCTTCCAGTTATTCCTGAAGCTCTCACACACAGGCTTTTATGTGGTGGCTGGCCTAAGTGTAAAGTAAGACTTTATTTATGCAACAACAATAAGACACTACTCCTGCTGGGTCTGGAGAGACAGCTAAGAGCACTGGCTGCTTTTGCAGAGGGACAGACCTAGGTTCAGTTCCCAGGACCCACAATGGCAGCTCATAGCCAACTGTAATTCAGCTCCAGGTGATGTGCTGCCCTCTTCTGGCCTTTGTGGGTGTTGCATGCATGTGGTGCGCAGACATATAGTCACTCACACACATGGATCAAGGCTTTCAATACAGGGTATCATCATCATCCTGTCCCCAAGGGTCTCACGAGACAGCCGGTGCAGCTGGGAGCATCACCATCATAGCTGTTGGTGGCTGACTAAGTAGCGGAGCCATGCCTTGGAACTTGCTTCTAAATGCAGCCCCTTCCTGCCGCATTGTCATGACTCTATTCTGACGCTAGAAATCTGGGCAAATGGCTTGGTACATGTTGATAGACATGCTGTCATGATAGGAAAGGACGGCTGGAAATCAGACTCTCCAGCATCTAATGTATTAGACTGTATTATTTCGGCCATTGGTCAGCTCACGTCACTTATGGTTATGCAGACCGAGTATAAAAAGAACATCCCCATCCACCTCTTACCTAACGTAAATTCTAGTTCATTAGTCAAATAAATCGTAGTTATTCTCGAATGATGGTGGACCAGGTACCACTTCCCCCATTAGTTCTTATTCTGAGACAGATTTATTACTCTGTAAGCCCAGGCTAGCCTCAAACTCTTGACTTACGCTACTAAATACTTTGGGGATTAAATCTGTGGTGCCTGTTAGTTGACAATCAGCAAGATACAACATTTTATTTAATACAGTGTTTCAATTATTTTTGTCTATCTGTGAATTCAATGGGAATTGGATAGTTTTGGATAGTTTTCTAATATAAAACTTGCGGATCCTGAAAGAATGCTACGTCTAGTCTATCCTGAGGGAAACTCCTTAAATCATGTACCAATAAAAACTAAATGTCACTTTTTAACAGGATGCAATAGATTAGCTGGGATTTCAACAATCCAATAAGCCAATCAAAACCGGAGTAAATGCTTTTAATCTCTGGTTCTCAGGAGCCTAGCACAAGCCTTCCCTTTGAACAGGATTATCCTTGAGAAGAGAACATGGCCCACACTGTAACTGCCAGTAAAACTTAAGTCAGGCTTTGAATAAATAAATACTCATATCACTTTCAGAAAGTCCTCATGGCTGGCCCAGACGGAAAACAGTTTGATTGTCAGGGGAAACCCCTCATGTCCATATTGTTCATATTCTCTCCAGTCTGAGACTTTACAATTCTTTCTTTAAAAGACAAAACCTTACTCATTCTGTAGCCCAGGCTGTCCTGGAACTCACTCTGTAGCCCAGGCAGTCCTGGAACTCACTCTGTAGCCCAGGCTGTCCTGGAACTCACTCTGTAGCCCAGGCTGTCCTGGAACAACTCACTCTGTAGCCCAGGCTGTCCTGGAATTCACCCTGTAGCCCAGGCTGGCTGCTAAACGAACAGAGATGTCCTGCCTATGCCTCTTAATGCTGGGATTAAAGGCATGAGCCACCACGCCTGGTTTTACTTTGCAGGTTTTGAGTTGAAGTGGCTGAAGGATTTCATGCAGTGTGAGTAGAGGTATCAGGCCACTGGCCCACTGAAACCCTGACTTTCTGACCCCAGGACCACTGCTGGTAGCAGTGGTGAGCTGGGTTTTCCTAGTGCTTTCTCTGGTCTCCTACTGCAGTGGTCCTTGGAGGTGAGGAACTGTTCTCAGAGGGCGGGATGTATGTAACGTGATGGAAATGACAGGCTGCCACAGGGAGGGAGGAGCGGTCAGCATCAAGGGGCTAGAGGGTACTTTGTTACTCAATCTGCTTGGTGCAGGCCAGCAGCCCGGGACATAGTTATCCCGGGATAAAGTCCTAGGAAACAACAGGCTCTGCAAACTTGATGCCTCTGCATCATCACCATGGCCGAAACACGAGCTTCTGACTCAGGAGGTCTAGGGCAGCCCACACCTTGCATTTCCTAACTCACAGGCGCTGCCGCCCCTGCCGCCTTAGCCAGGATTAAGAGCCACAGCTCTAGAGCACGATTTATTTGTTCTCTTAAACCTTTCTACAGCTTATCCCCAAGTCCTTAGACAGCTTTACAGAAGAAACTCACTAGATTTCAACAGGTAGTGAAGACAGAAAAGAACTCAACCTACAAACACACACACACATCCATACATACTCATACCATGCACACACATACACAAACAATCACATACACACACATCCATACATACTCATACCATGCACACACACACACACAATCACATACACACACACATCCATACATATACCATGCACACACATACACACACAATCACATACACACACATACATACATACACCATGTACACACACACACACACGTCCATACAAATATACCCATATTCACATATGCATACATACACACATATACACAGACAGGCATACATACTTAGACATGTATGAATACATATGCGGGCGCACGCGCGCGCGAACACACACACACACACACACACACACACACACACACACACACACATGCTGAGTCAGTCCCCAGTCCTGTACTACCCTGCTCGCACAGCTGTAGTGGGGACCCTAGAATGATGCTGAGTTTTTGAGGTTCAACCCACAACTTCCATGTAAAGGTGAAGCTGCCGAGTTGCTCATAAACCATTTAACCTTGTTTCACTTGTTTACATAAAAGAGCACAGACTTCCTGGAGCTGGTGGGCTCTGCCTGTGACAGCAGCTGTTCTGACAGGACACTGACTATCAAATACAGTTCCCAAGCCTCAAGCCTTTGGTTTACACAATCTCATGTTACAACAGAAGCAGTCTGGAGGCTGAGTTGCAGGCCGACTCTCTTGACCACCCTGACAAACTGGGGCCACTCCACAGTAGCCTCCAGACTACTGCTCTAACTTAAAACCACACACAAAAAAAGGCAGATCTCTGAGTTCAAGGCCAGCCTGGTCTACAGAGTGAGTTCTAGGACAGTCAGACCTACACAGAGAAATCCTGTCTCAAAAAAATCAAAACAAAATAAATAAATAAGTAATAATAACAACAATATATTTATGTTTGGGTTTGGTTTAAGAGTTCAATCAGATGAAACATTTTGTACTATTTTCCCAGGTGATAATTCAAGGCCTATAAATCTCAAAAATGTAACACAAAAGAACCATCATCAAGCGGACAGTGTGTTTCTGAGAGGTGTTTTGGGACTCTTCCAGGTCAGTTAAAGGAGAATGTGGTATTTCTCACTGTTTCATTAACACGTCTCTGCGGTGGGGGAGGGGCCAGCCTTTCTTTTTGTTGTCTAGTTTTCGTTTGGGTCTCACTATGAAGCCCAGGCTGGCTTTGAACGCTGGACCCTCCCATCCCAGCCTCTGTGTTGAGATTACTAGTGTGCACCACCACACCCTGCCCCAAACACCTTACATTGTTTGCTACATGTGTCCAGCCCTCCTGAAGACATGTATCTAATGAAATGAGCGGGTTAAAGTCAGCCCTAGCTTAAAACCGCTCACTCTACATAAACCAGTCAACAGGAGAAATTTGTTCTGCCTTCTTTGTTTCAAAATAGGTCTGAAAACATTTTCAAAATCTTGCTTCCGGTAAGAGTTGATTCTTTTTTTTCTTTTCTGAATGGCCTTTCTACTCTAACGCTGAACGCCTAAAAACTATGGGTTTTTAAACCCCGATTTCCCTATCAGTGCCAACTCAGCAGGATTTGAAGGCAGCCTTTATAATGCCATAGCCCCTCTGCTGCCAACTGAAGAAGGGAGATCAGCCTTACCTTACAGCACAGGTACAGAAGGGTGAGAACAGGCACCGAGTACCGCATGACCCAGATCTGTGGGACAAAGACTCTATTTAGATCACATGTCTGGCGACCTCTTGGGCCTCAAAGTCTGACTGTGAGCCTGCATCTACCGTCCTGCCACCCACTGAGTGTAGAGAGCAGAGTGGTCATAGGCTGCTCAGCCTTAACATGCAGATGTTGGTAAATTCTTTTTAGGAGAGTATCTTATATAATAATTGTAATTCTTGACAACGGAACTATTGTAAAGTTTTAATTTCGCTTTTTATTACATTCCTAAGTTCTGTATATAGTGAACATATCTGACATGTAAAAATATAAGTGAATTAAAAAATGTAATTGGTGACCAGACTGTGATTCATTCCTGCTTCGAGTCCTGGCCCTGACTTCACTCCGTGACGGACTGTGACCTGGGACATGTAAGTTACATAGAGTTGCTTTTGGGCATGGTGTTATATCACAGCAACGGAAAGCACACCGAGACAGAGAGGGACTCAGAGGTGTGAGGGAGATTGGAGAGAATGTTGAGGAGGAGCTAGAGTACACTACACATGTGCATAAAAATGTCAAAAAACTAAATGAATTATAAAGGATAATCTGCTCTACGCGACGGCTCGTCGCCCACGGAAATGCTAAAAGGAACTGACTCAGAAGAACCCTTATAGCTCACTTCCGAGGACAGACTGGAGGACACTGACCCTCTTTGGGTTACAGAGATGAACCAGCCTCAGGAGAAGTTCCCAGATCTCAGAGCTGCAGAGGCCGAAGGACGCGAACACGCACATGTGGGAGGTCCACAGGTACTTCATCCTGCAGGGAGAGCACAGGTCAGCTGCTGAGGGTCGGCCTGGCGAGTGAGGGCAAGCGATCGGGGAAGCTCACACAGTGACCGCACAGCCCTGTCTGTGGCCTGGGGAGTGAGGGCAAGCGAGCGAGCGAGCGGGGAAGCTCACACAGTGACCACACAGCCCTGTCTGTGCAGAAGCCATCGGCTGGAGCGGGACTCATCCAATCAATCACTCTCTAGGCCTGATTATACGATCATACGTGAATCACAGTGGACAATTTTTGCAGCTAAGAAAAAACCCCGGTGGCAATGCTTCAAGAGGGAAGACAGGATGGAAGGGCAGATCCGTAGGGACAGAACCAGCAACAAAGATGGCTGTCAGATAATCAATCCTGCTAGATAACATTAAAGAGCCGTCAAGTTTTATAAAGAGACCAGGTAACACGGAAGTACCTCATGGTACTCAACGCCAGGACCCCGAACAGAATGGTGTGGATCAGGTTGTACGCGGCTTCTGGCCTCAGGTCAACGGCGCGCTTTCTTGTCTGATCCACGGACTGCAGGCTTGTGGAATCACTGGAGAAAACAGCCAATGAGCAACATTAAATCTGGGTGTGTGGCGGTGACTTAGGTAAACCTTGTTATTTCCCCGACGAGGGAATGAATCGGCACCTGTCGGTGTGGGATCTGAGACTTGAGATCACAATAATAACTTCATTGCGTTTTTGATTGCATTGTTTTCCAGGCAGGGTCTCACTATGCAGCTCTGGCTGGATTTGAACTCATTATTTCTCCTGCTTCAGTTTCCCAAGCGTTCGTTACAGGTGCGGGAATTAGACTTTATACCTTTCTGTTTAGTTTTTATTTTATTTTATTATTATTATTACTATTTTTTTTTTTTTGGTATTTTGAGACAGGTTCTCTGTGTAGTCCTGGCTGTTCTGGAACTCACTCTGTAGACCAGGCTGGCCTCAAATTCAGAAATCCGCCTGCCTCTGCCTCCCACGTGCTGGGATTAAAGGCGTGCGGCACCACTGCCCGGCTTTATTTTTGTTTTATTGTATGAGTGTTTTGGCTGTATGCACGTGTGTGCACCATGTGCACGCCTGGTGTCCCTGGAGTTCAGAAGAGGGCAATGTATCCTTTGGGACTGGCTTTATAGATGGTTGTGGGTCGCCATGTGAGTGCTGGGAACTGAACCAGTGCTCTTAACCTCTGATCAAGCTCTTTGGCCTCAGTCTTAAAACATTTTTTTTTTTTTAAAGAAGTCATAGTCCAGAGGCTGGAGACGGCTCATGGGTTAAGAGCACTGGCTGCTCTTCCAGAGAACCTGGGTTTGTTGCCCAGCCCTGTATGGCAGCTCACAGTGGATCTGTAACTCTAGCACCAGAGGCCCTAGCTCCCCCTTCTGGCCTCTACGGGTACTGCAAATGTGTTGTACACACAGGCAGAACACACCTGGCAGTCAACGTGGCTATAGCCTGTGTCCTGCCTACACCTAAGCACTGCGGTGATGTCAACTGTGTTATCCAGACCAACTTCCTGTTTCCAGGAGCTAAGCCTTGAGTCTGCATACTGAACAGCTGATGAAGTATTTTCATAGTTCCTTTTATGACAGATCTTTTTATTTCTGTGTCTGTGTGTGAGTTCCTGAGGAGGCCAGACGCGGCCACCAGGTTCCCTGGAACTGGAATCACAGAGGTTGGGAGCCTCGCAACACAGGTGCTGAGAACTGGACTCGGATTTTCTGGAAGAGCAGCTTTTACTCACTGAGCGCCTCCCAGGCCCTGCTTTATTCTGACAGTCATAAGGCTGAAGGGATCCAGATTCATGCTAACCACAGTTCTCCTGCCTGGGAATCACAGCTTACTGGCGTTTTAAATGGTTATGGAACTAGACAGGAAAGGGCCTCATCACGTTCTCACGAGTGACAGTTGCTTCAGCTTTTTAACTCTTTCGTTGAAATACAGACTGTAGATGCAAAACCCATCAGCTCAATTGGAGGTATTCTACAATTCTGCCAAAACCCCCTTTATACTCTGATACTTTCTTTGGTAGACAGGAGTTGTGCTACGTTTTAAATTCAGGCAATGAGAGCAAAAGGTTCCAATATTCATAATTATGGCCCATACCAAATGTATGAACTTTCAAATGAGACCCGAGGGAACAAATGGACAATAATTAACTATTCTTCTGGTACTCTGGGCCTTGGACATTCTAGACAAGTGATGGACCATTGGGCTAATTTCTTTTCCCTTGTTATTTTGAGTCTAAGTTGCCCACATTGGCCCTGAACTCATTTTAGTGCAGGGTGGCCTTGAACTTATGATCCTCCTGCCTCAGTCTCCTGAGTAATTAGGCTTACAGATCTGTGTCACCAAATACAAAGTTCTCAGTTGAGAACTGTGTGATGGGGTTACCAAAAAAAGACCACAGGCACGCGCGCGCACACATGCACATGCACGCTAACACACTTCCCTCAAACAAAAACAAAACCCCACATTTTCAGATAGTTCACTATCCTGTATTGTGCCACACTGTAGCTCTGCTGGTTGCAGGACCCAGGCTGCATGTGCCTAATCTAGAAGGAGAAAGAAGAAACCTACATGGAGCAAATCACTGAAACCAAACCAGACTCATGAATCAATACCAACAACAGGTAGTGATATCTGATGCCTATAAAAGGGTCTTGGTTTTCTACACTTAGTGTGGTTTCCACACTGTTACCCAGCAGCCTCACAGGAGGTCTTCCTATTCGAGAAGAAAGGAGACAGAAGTACTAACAGGTCACCCAACTCACCAGAGACGGACACTCCCAAGCTCTGCAGAAATCAGCTCACTCGGCACTTCGGCTACCTAAACTGGGTGTGACCTCTTTAAAGAGGAGCAGTGTTCTGATGCTCTGGGTTTGCTGGTAACATTTTCATCTTCTCTCCCTCCCTTCCCCCTCTCCTCCCCCATCTCCCCGTGGAGAACAACTTCATCAAAGTGTTAAAAGTCCTACCTGAGATTACGAAAGGCCACAACGGACGCTGTGACCACTGTGACCAACAGGACAAACATGTATGCGTAAAAAAGCAGTGTCTCCGAGAGCCTTTGGAATGTGTTGAGAGGCAGGAGGCCGAAGGCTTCTTCACACAGATAGAGATTTGCATCGAAATCCCTGGGGAAGGAAGGCAGGGTAAGAAGTTACATCAAGACAGGCAAGGAAACCTCAGGGCAATGCTGAAAGCCTCAGGGCTCCAGGTTAAAGCCCTTACGGCTTCGGTACAAAACTGCGGGCACGCTCTCACGCCAGTCTTACCTTGTTGCTCCAAACCCAAATTTGGCCTTCAGAAATTTGAAGATGTGTTCGTCTGACTTCAGGTTAAGAATTTTCTATTAGGAAGACAGAAAAGGAAATGAGCTGTCAGTGTCCTGGGCGTGGTTCCTGACAACCTGTGAGGAATGTGGCTCAGGAAGAGGCCGTCCACAGTCAGCTCCCCAGACTCACAGAGCTGCCTCCCCCTTTAGAAGGTTCCCCTTGATTCAAACATCTGCACGAACTCAGTAAGTGGACCGGGTAAAAGAAAGGTGGCCTTTTTCAGTTTTATAATCAGAAAATCAGCAAAATGGTTTGAAGTCTCAAGCAGGGACACAGCCCATGTGGCTGTCAGGTTTTGGTTCTGGGGACACAAATGACTCATTCACATATAAATCTGGACAGAAGTAAAGTTAAGGTGTAGCCACCCCAACTCCAGTGTTAATCATCAGTGATTGTAATATTAACTGATATTTTTTATTTATGGACTATGAAAATCCACATAATACAAACAGTGGGAGCTGGAGAGATGGCTAAGAGCCTATACTGCTCTTGAGGCAGACCGGGTTCCTAGCACCCAAATAGGGTGACTCAAAACTGTAGTAACTTGAGAGGATCTGATGCCCTCTCCTGGCCTTCATGGGCACTGCACTCATATGCACAGACCCACCCACAGACACACAGCACAAAACAAGTGGGAGACTCCGGAGATGGCTCAGCACTTAAGACCACTGTTTGATCTTCCAGAGGACACAAGTTTGACTCCCACCACCCACATGGTGGCAGATAGCCACCTGAAATTCTAGTTCAGGGGATCTGATGCCTCTCCTGGAGCTCCAGACATACACGTGGTACACAGGCAAACATGTGGACATATACTAGACATACATGTGGCGCGCTGACATACACGCATGCAAAATACCCATATACATGAAATAAAAATAATAAAATAAACAAAATCAAATAGGGCACGGAGGTCCGAGAGGTATACCCCGAGGAAAGTCTGCCCTCAGAAAACAGAACCGGACAACAGCAACAACAGAAACCCAAACATTAAACAGAGTTATGCTCTAGATCACTTAAATAAAAATCTTAATAAAGTGGGAGGCAGAGTCAGGCAGAGCTTGTGACAATTCCAGGCCAGCCTATTCTGCACAGTGACCGGGTTACTTAACGACTTATTCTACTATCTAGTTATTTTTAATTAATTTGGTGGGACTAGGACCTGGGGCTCTGTGCACAGAGTTCATACACTAGCCATGATGACATCTCAGTCTGGGGTTGTTCATTTCAACTTAGCAAAAATGAACTTGTATCTTCTTTTGAATAACCACCACCACCACCACCACAACAAATGACCACTCCAGTAAAACTTGCCTCGTAGGGCATGGAAATTCACACTTATAAATCCAGCACAGGGCTGGCTGAGACAGTAGATATGTAGTTCAAGGCCAGCTAGGTTATCTCAAAAATCTCCCAAAAAAGGCAAATAGAAAATACTCATTTAAAAAGATATAGTAGTGCTAATAAGCAATATTTAATGTTTTTAAAATTGAACCTTAACTGTTAAAGAGTTCACAGAGGGGCACTGTGCTGGCTAGTTTCAGGAGAGGAGGGACCTCAACTGAGAAATGCCTCCATACGATGAGGTTACAGGCAAGCCTGGAGGGAGTTTCCTTTTTCTTTTTTCCTTTTTTGGTTTTCTGAGACAGAGTTTCTCTGTATGCACGCCTGACTATCCTGGAACTCCATCTGTAGACTAGGCTGAACTCAAACTCAGAGAGACCCAAGGCATGTGCCACCACCGCCTGCTGGGCATTTTTAAATTAGTGATTAATAAGGGAGTTCCCTTATCAATCAAGGGGGGCCACCCCTTGGCTGGTGTTCCTGAGTCCTGGGTTCTATCTGAGCAAGACAGGGAGAGCAAGCCAGTAAGCATCGCCCCTCCACGGCCTCTGCATCAGCTCCTGCCTCCAGGTTCCAGCCCTGCTTAAGTTCCTGCCTTGGCCTCCCTCAATGCACACTGACTAGGATGTGTAAGCTAATTAAACCTTTTCCTCTCCAAGCTGCTTTTGGTCAGAGTGTCAGGACAGTAGTAGTAACCATAACTAAGACAGATTCCGTGGTGATTTGATGGAGATGTCCTCCGTTGTCCCAGGCGTAGTTAGTGGCACTTTTTGAGGAGGCTCAGGAGGTGTGGCCTTGATGAAGGAAGTGTGCTGTCACTGGGTGTGGGCTTTGTGAGCTCCCAGTTTGTAAGATATGTGTACTCAGCCTGCTTGGCCCACCATTTTGGACAGTAACTCCCTTGAACTGTTAGGCCAAATAAACTGTTCTCTAAGTGGCTTTGGCCATGGCGTTTGTCGTGGCGACAGAAAAGCAACCAATACAGGTATGTCCTGAACAGGAGGAGAAATGAACTAAAACCAACAGAGCCCAGTGTGTCTCTCGCTAGGTCCACCATGACTCTCAGTGATTCAAGTATGCCTTATAAATGAGAACTAGCCCTAATTAAAAGTTCAAAGCTTAACTGTAATACCACAGACACATTTCACAAATGGATTAAATCTCACTTACTAGCTTACCTTAATAACGTTGTTGAGAAAAAGTGTCAAGCAGAAAACTAGAAGCAAATGCAACAATAGTTTCCAAATTCTAGTCAGGAAGGATCCAGTCTTCAGGTTTTTCTAGAAATTGAAAAAAAAATTTACTTCAATTTTAAATTAGCATTTAAATAAACTTCGACATTACCCTAACTTCATAAGCATTTGAGATGGCTTGAAGATTTAAAATGCTGGCTCATGTAACATATACAGGTAAATGTATATAGACAAAAATAACCCCTACTTCATGGGGTCTCTTTTCCTTTATTTTAATAATTTTACACATGATCTGAAACGGGGGTGGGGAGGGAGGGTGGATATTGGTGGTTGAAGGTCTAACCAGGGATGTGGGTGAGAGAGTACGGGGAGATAAGAGTTAAGAAAAAACCTTGTGGGAATCTACTGCTTTGTAAGGTAACTTAAAAGTGTAACTAAATAAAGAAGGCATCTGAACAGAGGTCACTTGCATGGGTGAACAAGGCTGCCCGTAGAAGACACAGGTTATTCAATGGAAATCCCAGTCAGCACATGGGAGACCTCCCTATGAGTTACTGGACAGGAAGGTCACACCCAGAAGACCCTGAGACAACACGAGTCCTTGGCTGTCCCCTGTAACAGATGTTAAGGCCCTACTGGGGAAGCCATCACACATGTGGGCTGTAGAGACGTGATCTGGAGCTGAGTGGGAACCCCTCTCAGCAGGCGAGCTTTCACGGTGCAGGACGGTGTCTGCAGGCTGCTGCAGGGCCAAGACTTCATGTCCTACCCAGCACTGACCCTGCGCCTGCCAGGCATGGCGTTCCCACTGGTGTGACGGCAGCACGGCTGATATGGGACCAACCAACTGCTTTCTGGTTAGATGAGGTCTGTTCACCAAGAGGGAAGTCATGACCGGTTCTGTAAACTTAATAAACAGCACATGGCTGGGGAGGTCGTTAGTCCCGGGGAAAACCTCCGACTGTTGTTCTGCGGAATGGCCGTGTTATCTAACTGTCTTCTGAATATTTACCTTCATATCTGTGCTGCTCTCAAGCTTGGTCAATGAAGCAGCTTCTCTTTGTAGCGGGCAGTGGTTAATGCAGAGACTCACAACTGACCTAAGTATTCAGAATTACCGACTCTAGGTGTTTAGCCTTAAATGAGGTACTCGTGTCACACCCCCACCAAGGCTCAGGGAATGCCAGGACAGAGCGGATGGGAAGAATGTGAGAGTGGGGGAGGGGAGTAAAGCTTGGAAATGCCGCGTTCTCATGAATTCGCATTCACAAGGAGGGCGTGGCTACCTTCCTATGAGCGGCACAACGTAAGTCAGACACAGTCCCTGTATGGATGGGGGAGTGGCTCATGGAGCTCACCCCCAGCTCAGGGGCTATTGGTAGTTGATGGCTGATGGGAGACAGACAGTCGTAATTCAGAGGATATGGCTCTCGCTAGGCTGCCCACCCGCAGTGGACGGCCCCCATGGCCATTTGCATAAGGTTAGCACTAATTGGATTCAGCAGGTAATTTTATAAATAAAAGACAAAGTTGGAAGGGGGACATGTTGGGGGTGTCTGAGGAGAGACTGAAGGGTCATGGGTGGAAGTATATATGATCAAAGTATATTACATACCTGTATGAAATTCTTAAAGGATTAAAAATATACATAAAAGAATTTTACGTGGTATTTTAATATCTGACAAGGTGCCCCATGCCCTTCTAAGTTTCTGTTTGGAATTCTTTGAATTTTAAAAAGTTTATTTTAATTCGATTCAATAATACTAAGAGGACAGGTAATGCCAGGAAAGGTGGCATCTTCGTCACAAACAGCAAGGGGTCCAGACCTGAAAGGCCATGACTGACACACTGGCACTATTGATTACACCTGTAATTTTTTCGTTCTTGTATTGCAGCTTTACATCTATGACAGATAATAGTGTAATTCAAATAAACGACCTTGGCTAATGGCTGAATTGAGGTTTCGATTGCATAAGAAGCCATCACCGCTAAAAGGGAAGAATGACCCGAGACAACCTGAAACAAAAGTTCCCCTTCAAAAGTGAAACTGCACTTTAAAAAGAAGTGAACGTAACACTGCTGGTGCTCTGTGCTGGGAACTGGGTCAGGTTTTCCTTTGAATTAAAAATGAAAACGAGGTCCAGTGAGCCACACAATCAAAAACAGATTTTATAGGGCTGGAGAGACGGCTCAGCAGTTAGGATCACGTACTATTCTTGCAGAGAACCCCTTGGTTCCCAGCACCCACTTTAGGCAGCTCACAACAGCGGGTAACTCCATGTCCAGGGGATCTGGTGCCCTCTTCAGGTCCTCATAGGAACTGCACTCATGTGCACATTCACCACACACACACACACACACACACACACACACACACACACACACGAAGAGAGGGAGGGAAAAGAGAGCTAAAAATTAAAATCTTACAATATCATTTATAAAAATTAGAAAGTCCTACCTGAAGTTTTCTTACAATTAACACTGAAAGGTTAAAACTGATGAGCAAGGATCCCAGAATCATGGAGTTAAAAAACTGAAGCGTGCAGACGAGCAGCAGGCAGCTTATCTGTATGCCGTACAGCCAGGTCGCCTACAAGGAAGTGGACGGATGGAGATCTCCTTAGGAGAGCAAGACACGGACCGTGTTCACACCTCAGGTTACAAGCAGGAAGCACACCTAGCTCCGAGAATCACCGTCTTTTTTTTTTTTTTTTTCGAGACAGGGTTTCTCTGTGTAGCCCTGGCTGTCCTGAAACTCACTCTGTAGACCAGGCTGGCCTCCGACTCAGAAATCCACCTGCCTCTGCCTCCCAAGTGCTGGGATTAAAGGCGTGCACCACCACTGCCTGGCGAGAATCACTGTCTCTAAAAGGACACCCCGTTGTATAAATTCCATTTGTTTTCCACTTTTGATGACAGAAAAAGTTTTAAAGATGTCTATTTATGTGTGTGCGCGCGCACGCGTGCGTGTCCTCATGCGAGTCTGAGCCTGCCACACTTCCCACCGTGACGATAATAGACAGAACCTCTGAAACTATAAGCCAGCCCCAATTAAATGTTTGCCTCTATAAGACTTGCCTTGGTCATGGTATCTATCTCTTCACAGCAACGAAACGTTATGACAGCTTTTTTAAAAAAATGAATTGATCGTGTTTCAATGCCATACCCAGACAGACTTGTGCAAAATGGCAGTTTTGTGGAGCAGCAGTTCTGACCAATTAAGGGTGCAAACTTTGAACCTCAGAGAAAACCAGTGTGGGCTCTGCCTTGCCTGGTGTCACCAGGAGCTCAGGGCACAGGATGACAGCAGTTTTTAGGATTATACTGTACATAACTATACACAGACAAACATTAAACAAAACAGTAATTGACAGAAAGGCGAGACCAACAACAGAACCCAACACAGTTACCAACGGAGGGAATGTGGGTTCCAACTGGAGCCTAACATTTCATACAAACTGCATACTGCATATCATACAGTGTAATTCTCTCACGCCAATGACTATTCTGTGTAAACCTGAACTTCAAAACACTACATAACTGTGAAGATCTGATTCTGAGATATACCTCCAAGCACAGGCTTATGTTTTGAAGGCTGGTGGTGCCTTAAAAAATTTAGGGGGGGGGGAATTACATATATGTACACAGAAAATATGGTCACATTTAGCCTGTCTCTATCCTATGTCTCCCAATATGCTCTCTCCCAAATTCAGGTCTTTGTTTTGTTTCTGATAACCCATTAAGTCTACTTAGTGCTCTCATACATCCCATATGTGCCCGTGTGTGTGTGTGTGTGTGTGTGTGTGTTATCCATCAGAGCATGGAAGACCTACCAGGGCCACAGTACAGAATGATGCTCCCTCGCTCAGCAACTACCCACTGCCAGCAGCTACTGAGGAGGAGGCAGGGCCTTGATGCCAGGATTTCGGCTGGCTTGTTCTTGTGTGGGTCTTGCGCAGGCAATCACAGCTGACAGAGCTGAAGAGCTGAGTCTTCTGAGAGACGGGCCCAGCAGTGAAGTCAGCCACTACGGCCGTCAGCACCTATACCCAGCTCCGGTTCTGATCTGCTTCCTGCCTCGACTCTAAGAAGAGGCTGCCTCATGCTCTGGATACCACAGATAGGACCAACCTATCTCATCGCTGTGCCTTCGCTAAGACAGACTGAAATCTCTCAGAAGCCACGGGACAAAATAAAACATTTATCCTTACTGTTTTCTGTCCCAGCAGTGAGAAAAGTTACTGATATTATGTCACGTGGGTATGTCTTAATTTTTTAAGTTTAATTGTATATGTATGAGTTTGATGGACACACGCCAGCTCCTTCCTCCCACCCAACCCAGGCATTCCTATCATGTCTCCCTTACCCACTCATGTCCTCTCCACCGAGTGCAATGCTAGCTGCCTCACCTATGGAACCAGAGCTGCCAAGTCCATGGGTGCAGAGCCAGGGCCTGTCCTGAAGACGGCATTCCCCAGCCCTCCTCCCCATCCCCCAGCCCTTACATCCTTCTGCCCCTCCTCCTACGATGCTCTTGAACCTGGGAGACAGGGGTTGAGATGGATGTTCTATGTAGGGCTGAGCGTTGGGTACCACATTGCTTCTGACTAGAGAGTTCCTTAGCCTGCTGACCTCGGCAGTGGAATGCAACCATGCAGTCGATGCCACCCTGGCAGGAGGGAAGGGATGTCACTGTAGCTAAGTGGGGGCTGAAGTCAGATTCCCCATGTGGTCTGTGGAGAGGGTGAAAAATTCCAGATTGTCTGACACTGCCCTGGCATGTAGCAGGCATGAGAACAGGGCGAGAACAGAAATCCAGGCGGCTCCCGTGATGCCTTGTTGGCGGGTGGGAGTGGAGCTGCACGTGTTTGTAAGGTGTTGGCTGCTATGGGCTGTCAAGTTTTCTGTCTTCCTAAAATTTCTCTTTTCTGGTCCTCAGCTAGGAGAACGTTTTTCTTGTGAGTTTCTGTGCCGTTCTACTGCTATATTTCTGGGTTTTTTTTTGGGGGGGGGTTTTCTAATGCCTATTCTGGGACCTGTGAAGGAAAAGGAAAACCCAGGAGACCCATGGCCACATTTTCCTTCTGGTCTGGAAGTTTCTAGTTGCCTTAGGGTTTTACTGTAAAGAGACACCATGACAACAGCAACTCTTTCTTAAATAGATGTACATGCAAATGATTTACTTATTTATTTATTCATCTTATTTGCCTGCATGAGTTTTAGGTGTACCGTATGTGTGCAGTGCCCATGGAGGTCAGAAAAGGGCTCTGGGTCTCCTGAAGTTGGATTGCAGGTATGTAACTCAGTATGAGATATGGGTGCTATGTGAGTGTGGGGTACTGCATCTGGGTCCTCTGCAGGAGCAGTAAGCACTCTAAACCGCTGAGTTATCCCTCCAGGGCCTAGAGGCACTACTTAACTTTAAAAAAATGTTGAGGGGCTGGAGAAATAGATCAGTGGTTCAGAGCACTAACTTCTTATAGACAACTCAAGTTCAATTCCCAGCACCCACATGATAGCTAACAACTATCAGTAACTAGGGTTCCAGGGGATCCTATGCCCTCTTCTGGTCTCCATGGGTACTGCGTGCACACATGTGACATACATACATATATGCAGGCAAAGCATCTATACACATAAAGTGAGCTAAGTGTCAAAAAAACTTTGTTGAATTGTCAAACTGGGCTGCGCACAGTTCTTAGCTTCAGGTGACCACAGCCCAGTGACACAGGTCAACAATTTCACCTTTGTCACAGTCTGTATCAGTTTCCATCACATCCTATGATGGGAGACGCTCATGGGTATGCACTGAGGAGCGGAAGGTAGGCGGTGCTCACCTTCACGGCCGGCAGCATGTCCAAGGAGTCCAGGATGAACAGCACCAGAGCCTGCAGCAGCATCATGAACTGATTAAATTGCCATGTCAGGCTAAAGAGGAACGTCGATACGGAGATGGCAAGGAGTGTCAGCCTCTGTGGGGAACGAAAGGAAACAAACCTTTGGAGGATTCTCATCTCCAGTCTTCAAACAACCTGGTGGTTCAGTTTTCTCGAGGGTAGCCAATAAATGCCCCCATAAGCCAAATAAGAGTGGGGGAGGCAGAAACTGTTGCTTTGAAAAACTCTGCGTTTGTATTATGAGCTCCAAACGTCCCGAAGTGCTATTCTCATACACATATGGTATGTGCGATCCGCTCTGATCTCGAGGCTATAATACGACAAGCCCCATCTCAAAAGCGACGGATTAGAAATCCTCAGTCTCACAGAACAATGTGGGCTTCCTGCAGCTACTTGAGGGTAGGCTGTAGAGAGGACATTTTTAACTTGACATTTTCTTGGCAAAGGAGGAAAAGGTTCAGAGGGAGAGGGCTTAACTTGGGGGTGAAGAGATGGCTCAGCAGTCAAGAGAGCTTGCTGTTCTTGCAGCGGGCATGACGAGTTCAGTTCCCAACACCCAGGGATGCTCACAACCATCTGCAACTCTGGCTTGAGGAGATGGATACCCTTCTTTGGCCTCCACAGGTACCAGGACCCAAGTACCTATATCCACAAACACATGCACGCACACATCATTTAAAAATAACAAATTTGGTCATGGGATGAGAGCTGTCCCTGTGGACTGTAGCTTTTTGCTCATACAAAGCCAGCAGATTAAAAAGTACCCTAGAAACTTCGGGCTGGCAAGAAACTAAGGACCCCAGTTCAATCTCTGGGTCTTACAGATGTCAGGATCAGAAACGACTGTCCTCAGCTTTTCTCTAACCTCTGCATGAGTGCTGTGGCACCTAACACACTTGGATACACACACATGGATGGACACACATACACACAGACAAGACACACACATACACTCTCAAACATACACATTCATTTGTATACAACATTCATATACTTACACTCATACACACTCACACACACTCACTTGTACACACATACTCACTCACACTCTCTCACACACATTCACTTGTACACACTCGCAGATTCACATACTTATACACACACATACGTATACTCACACACACATACACACACACACACACATACGAGTAATTAAAATGCTCTAGAAACTTACTTCAGAAAGAGGCTGTAAGTTTGGTCTCAGGAAGTACGTAATTGCTGCAATCTGAATTGCAAAAAAAGGCAGAGCCCAGTTCTCCCTCAGCGGGATGGTAAACTCAACTCTTGTGGTATCTATTCTGTAGGAAGAGAACACAGACAGCCAAAATAACAGCCAAGATTGTTCTTGCAACGATTTCCTCGAGGAATACTAGCAGGAAAACTGGAGGGCACTTAGTTGAGGGACATACAGGTCTAGCCACGAGCTCTCAACAGCAGTTGTCACTGTCATCATCACTATTGCCCTCATGACATGAAATTGGCACTGACAGCATCAGACCTGCCCTTGTTCCTTATTAAGTGGTGGGATCCAGCCCATGTTACCCAGAGTACTGAGGCCATGGAGGCCCACACCAGACTCCTTTTCACACTGTTCTCTGGATGCTGTAGGCAAAATTTTCTTCTAAAGATTTTTGTTTTATGTACATGAATGTTTTGCCAGCAGTGGCCAGAAGAGGACACTGCATCCCCCTAGAACTGGAGTTAGGGACATGATCTGCCACATGGGTACTGAGAACCAAACCTAGGTCTTCTGCAAGAGCTGCCAGTGTCAATGCATCTCTCTAGCTCCAAGGCTCTCCCCTCCTTAGTGCTTTTATGTCTGACACTGAAGCTTGCTGATGGTCTTTTCAAGTGAATTACCCCACTGGAATGTAGTCTCCAGAAGGCAGGACAAGGCAAGCTTTCACCTCTGTATAATCAGTACTGAGAAACACTCATGCACAGACCGGGCAATTGATAACAACCTCAAGAAAAATGTAAAGTGCTGTTCAGAGTGTGAGAGTGCAGGTGACATCCTTCTGAGTCAACGTTTATACCTCTGAAACAGAGGTCATAGCATCTACCTTATGGGGTGATTGCTCTGCTTTGAGACAAAGTCTCTCTACATAGCCTTATCTGTCCTGGAACTCACTATGTAGGCCAGGCTGGCCTAGAACTCAGAGATCTGCCCGTCTCTGTTTTTGTTACACCACCAAACTCAGCCCCATGTAGGGCTGTTAATAGGTCCCAGTACCTACATGCCAGCTCACAACTGTTTCTAACACTAGTTCCAGAGAATCCGATACCTTCTTCTGGCCTTCATTGGTACCAGGCACACACATGGTGCATATACATATGTAGGCAAACACTTAATTAAATACATAAGACTAAATTTAAAAGTATTTTTCACAAGGCTGAGAAGCAAATCTATATTAGAACTCATGTCAAAGTTTTAAGGGCCTTAGTAAACACTGTTGCTGCTCTGTAAGTTGGGTAACAATTCAATAAATCTTTAAGACCAGGGTCTCATTATGCAGCCCAGCCAGTGACATGCTATGTAGTTCAGGGTATCCTCATACTTGTGACCCTCCTACCTTAGCCTTCTAAGTGCTAGAATGATAAGGTATAAGCCAATAATCTTTCCTGCCAATAATCTTGAATATATGGAAATGTATATTGATAATACTAGGTAATAAAATAATTACATGATGATACAGCACTGTCTATTTTGCTGCCAATCCTATCATGATGGACAGAGAAGCTGGGTGTGTTAGGGAAGGCCTCTACTTAGCAGCTAGGAAAACAGAGATAGGAGGACCTGAATTCAAACCCTGCTTGAGCTACAAAGTGAGTTTAAAGACAGCCTAGCAATGTAGTGAGACCCTGTCACACAACTTAAAAATTACTAGGAAATTTTGGGACATAGTTTAGTAGCAGAATGCCTCCAAGGCAAATACAGTAGTAGCCTGGGGGCAACACACAAACACACATACTTTCACATACTATCTCACACACAGATATTCACTCCCTCTCACACACACATGCATATACACACTCACTCTCACATACACTTGCATACACTTTCACACACACACACAAACTCTCACATGCACACACTCTCTCACACACACTCTCACACATACACATATACACACTAACACACACACACTTTCACATATACACTCTCTCATACACACATACACCAACACACACAAACCTTTTCACATACACTCTCTCACACACACTCATATTTACACACACTCACATACACATATACACACACTTTCACACACACACACACTCATTGACACACACCCTCACACACGCACGTACACTCACAAACACTCAACACAAACACACACTCGCTCTCTCATACACACACTCAATTTATTTACACACGGACGCACACTCATACACACACATTCACACACATACACTCACATACATCTCTCTAAACTGTGTGGTTAAAGCAATATCGATCTCAGAGCAAGCAGGCAGCGGCAGCAAGATCGGAGCCGATGGCGCTGTAATGTGCTACTCGGTTCTCAGATGAGAAAACTTCTGGATGGAGCTTTCTCCCTTGCTAAATAAGAAAAACACACTCAACCCGAGATTTACGGCAAGACTGCATTTTGTCTCACTAACCACAGTGTTCACAGCCATTCTCTGCATGAGAAAACAGTCACTTACCCTCACTTAATACTAGGGAAGAGGAGTGAACTGACACAACTCACCTGTTGGTGACGTACCAGAGAGCTGCCAACAGTCCTGACAGCCAGGTGCCACTAAGGAGCCAGCTGGTTATATAAAGGGCCGTGACATAGACTGCCTGGAGCCCGAAAAGGGTGTAGATATAAAAATAAACAGGTTCTAGATATTTCTGTAAAAGACAACAATAAAAACTGTTCATCAGGGTTGGGGACACAACTCAGTGGCGGCCTGTGTGCCTAGTATCTTAGCTCCTGTTCTCTCGCTGTGGAGACATTGTGACCAACGGAAGAAAGAGTTATTGGGGGCTCACAGTCTCAGAGGGTGAGTTCGTGACCATCATGGCAGGAGCACAGAAGGCAGACTAGAGCTTACAATCTGAGCCACGAACAGGAGGCAGAGACAGCTAACTGGGAATGGTGTTGGCTTTTGAAACCTCAAAGCCTAGCCCATCTAACATATACCTACTCCAAAAAGGCCACGCCTCCTAACCCTTCCCAAACAGTTCCACCAATGGGGGATCAAGCATTCAAACTTATGAGCCTGTTGCAGCTATGTTCACTTAAACACCACGCCTGGCACACGCCAGGCCCTTGGTTCATTCCCTAAACTATGAAAGTTTATCACAGATGTCCCAACCCTCCTTACTGGCATTTAAAAAATATATCCACAGAGAGGCCTACGGACCTGGCTTACACAGAGGGGCCTAGAGAACAAGCTGGCTCACACACAGGGGTCTAGGGAGCTGGCTCAGTGCTTGAACATGTATATGGATCTTGCAGGGGACCCTAGTTCGGTTCCCAGCACCCATGCTTGGCAGCTCACAACTGCTTCTAACTCCAGTTCCTGAAGACTCTAACACTTCTGGTCTCTATGTACCTACACTCACATGCACAAACCCTTACACAGGCACACATACACACATATACATAATCCAAAGTAAAAGAAATCCTTGTAGAACATGTCTGTAGAAAGGTAATGTTGAGCTTGCAGCCAGCCTGAGTAGTAGGGTCATCAATGCTTTCCACCTACGAGCAAGTAGCCCTTTCTTCAAACTAGATGCAAGGAAGCCTCTAGACAAAGCAAGGTCTAACCTGTTCTAATTCTGCCTCAGTCATGTGAGAAGTGCTGACTATGATCTGACAATCCCAGGCATATTTTTTAAAACATAAAGACAAGTCACAGAGCCGGATAGTGGCCCCATGCCTTTAATCCCAGCACTAGGAAGGCAGAGGCAGGAGGATCTCCATGTGTTGGACGCTAGTCTGGTCTACAGAGTGACAGGATAGCCAGGGCTACACAGAGAAACCCTGTCTTGAAAAATAAAAACAAGAACAAACACACAAATACACAAATGACAAACATAAGCCATGGAGAAATAGGTTACACATAGAGGAATGGCTACATATTTTCAAATGAAACTGTTTCTCAAGTTTCTAGGCTGCGTGCGTAATTATGACACAAGCTAGGAGACTCTACTTGTAAAAATAACAGTATCTTATAGAGTTAAAAACAACAACAATAACAAACAAACAAAAAACAAACAAAACAAAACAAAGCAAATTCAGTGCTCATAGCAAGGACTCTCTACCTGGGCAGCTGAAGTCAGGAGACCCAGAGTGAGACATCCAGTCTGAGTGGTGGTGCGGACCTTTTTTAAAGAAATCTTTTTTTGTTTGTTTGTTTTGTTTGATTGTTTTTCAAGACAAGGTTTCTCTGTATAGCCCTGGCTGTCCTGGATCTCACTCTGTAGACCAGGCTGGCCTCGATCTCAGAAATTTGCCTGCCTCTGTCTCCCAAGTGCTGGGACTAAAGTCGTGTGCCATCACTGCCCGGCTGCAATGTGGACCTTCATCAGCCCCTACGAACTCAAGGACAGAGAACACCGCATACCTGTATGGGGAGAACTCTATATAAAACACTGAGAAAAACTTCTTGGTAAATGTTCATCCGTTGAAGGAGGTTGATGGTCCTCATGGACTCGGTTTTGTTGTCATAGATTAAGCCGTGGAAACCTAAGGACACACATGAAGACAAACCAAGAGTGAAAGATTACAACTGGCACTTCTCCAGTCACTCAGCGTGACTCACAGACTTAGCATCACACTGTGAGTGTGCTCAGAACAGCTCAGAGTAAACCACAGAGCCAGCCACCCTGCAAGGCTGACGCCCGCCAGAGGAAGACGCGCCACAATACAGGCACACTTAAGAACTTCCGAACAGAACCCCAACGGGGCAGCCTCCCCTCAATCAGACACATGTGATGGCATGAAATCGAAAAGCTTCTGCACATCGGAGGAAACAACTGGAGTGGACACAAAAGCCTATAGAATTGGAGAAAATCTTTACCAGCTACACCTCAGACCTCAGGTGATTAATATCTAGGCTACATAAAAAACTGCAAAAACTTAACTTCATAAAAATAAAACTGCTAATCAATAAATGGGCTAATGAACTGTTGAACAGTTTTCAAAAGAAAGGACAGAAATGGCTGATAAATATTTTAAAAAGTGTCAACCATCATTATCCATTAGGGAAATGCAAACTAAAACGACTTGGGATCCCATTTAATGCTGGTCAGAATGGCAGTCATCAAGAAAGCAAATGACGACAAGTGTTGGAGATGATCCAGGGACAGAGGAACCATCGCCAGCTCCTGGGAGTAATTGGCTCCCGGAACTGTCACCAGCTCCTGGTGGGAGTCTTAACCAGGACAGCAGCTATGGAAACCAGTATGAAGGCTTCTCAAAAAATTAGAAACGACAATTAAAAATTAGATTGCCCCCCCCCACCTTATTCCCTGAGAAGCTGCGGGCAGTAATGTTAGCTGGGGCAGGGGATTGATTTTCTTCAATGGTATAACTACTGCTAAGTTGCCCAGGCTCCAGTAAACATCCAAAAATGATTATGCTGGCAACCGTGCCTGCACTCAGTGGGTCAAAAACAAAACAAAACCGACATGAAGGTAGGTGGAAACTTGCTGGGAAGGAAGTTGCTTAACTGATGCAGGGGAATGACAGTGGATAATGGGGACGGTGAAAATGACCAAAAGCATTACATACACACATAGAAGTTGTCAAAGGATTTCTTAAAAGATAATTTCTTCTTCAAAACTACTCATCACAGGACCGCTTGCCCTGGGTCAACCATCAATGACATCAGAGATGGTTTGGCCACGTGGCAGGGGCTCACAGGTTGGGATTTACAGAAACAAATCTACCCCGTGTCATGCCCACAGATGGCTCCGGAGAGGAAGAGCTATCTCATCACAACACGCTTCTGTCACAGATACATTCTGAGGAACTACTGCTTTTGAGACCCTGACCTGGGCTTATGCCAGCATCCAGGGGACAGAGACCCAGCTCCATGATGCCACCCCTGCCCTCAGCATCCTGAGAGGATAACTTAAATTTTCAGGGACCCTGACTCTTGCCAAACCAGATATTATGGCTTTGATGCTGGAAAAAAAATTCAGAATTAGTCAGTAGGGTGAAGGCAGAGTCAGAGGTTAAATTAAAGCTGTTAAGATAAACTCTCAAGAAGAGAGGGCCAGCACACACAAGAGATGCCGGCTCACAGCATCTCAGGCATTCCCATGGTGACTGTGTGGAAGGTACTGGTAGCGGTGGGAATTTCATTGCTTGGGTTTCTTGGGACACTACCTGCCTCCTTTGCCCCTGGTCCTCTTTGAAAACTGAGAAGACATAGACCATGAAAGGGATTACAATCTGATAAAATAAAACTGGAAGCTATGGCATCTCAAGAGATGGCTTGGTGGTTAAGAGTACCGGCTGCTCTCCCAGAGGACCCTGGTTTGATTCCCAGCACCGACATGGCGGCTCACAACCACCTGTAACTTGGTCTTAGGAACACAATCCCCTCTTCTGATCTCCACAGGCACCGGGAATACACATGGGACACAGACATATATGAAGGTGAGTCATTCATACATTTAAAATTATGAGCCAGGTGTGGTGGCTCATGCCTTTACCTCAGCACTCAGGAAGCAGAGGCAGGTGGATCTCTGAATTCAAGGTCAGCCTGGTCTACACTATGGGTTCCAGGACAGTCAGGGCCATGTAAAAAGACTCTGTCTCAAAACAAAACAAAAAAAACACGTGTGTGTGTGCGCGCGCACACACACACACACACACACACACACACACACACACACACACGCTAAATAACAATGCATCAGGTGAAAGAGGGGAGGGGAGAGGCTTGAGGGAAACAACACAGGGGAGTCAGCATGCCCACATCAGTAGCTGTTGAGATTACCTTGCAGGAGGGTCGGAGCCTGCAGCATCTGTTTGTAGTAAGAATAGTACAGTCCACATTCCGTCCTGAATGAGATTTCTCGCTCTACTTCCTGAAACAAAGTGAGAACTACTGGGTTTACTTGACCTAGTTTCGTTGAAACGCCCACTGTTACTATAGAAACAAGATGCAGAACTACAGAGTTTAGGAGAGACAGGATGCCCTGCGCTTACCAGAAATCTTGACAGAGTGAGGCACAGAGGCTAGCACCTGCAATCCCACCAGCCGGAGGTTGAGACATGAGTTCAAGGTTGACCCGGAGACTATATGAAGAGACCTTGCCTCAAAACAACCAAAAGGAGGCAGATGCTGGGGGGATGGGCGGGGTCATTATTCTCTCTACTCTTGTAGATCCGTTTCCATGTAAAAATGGTTTTAAAAGCCCGACAGAACTTGTTTCATTTAAGGGGTATTTCGAAGTTCATGGTTTCACACAACTCACAACTACAAAGAAACCCACAAATCACCACTAGACCCAAGTGATAATATCTCTCAGACCTCTGGGGCTGGAGAGATGGCTCAGCAATAAAGACACACCATACACATTTTTTTTTTTCAAAAGTATAAATGACTTAAGAAGCTACAATCTCTGCTATTACAGACTCCTTTACTCCGGTGTTCCAAAAGCCAGGCCCCCGAGCTGATATCACACTGTGTAAAAAGTGGTGTGACCTACACGTTAACACAAAGATCCACACTCCACAGACCTCAGGTGTCTGGGACAGGTCAGAGATGCTCACACTTGCTGCCAAGCTGCCAAATCCTCATCTTGGCTCGTCTTTGCTCATTCTTACCTGCAGGATTTTTTTTTTCTAAGAGTAATAAAACATTTTACTAAGAGAACCATTTATGGGCTAGACAGACGCCTCAGTGGCTGAGAGGACTGGCTGATCTTACAGTGGACGTAGGTTCAGTTCCTGGCATGCACATGGCAACTCTCAACCATCTGTTGTTCCAGCCCCAGGGAATCTGATGCCTCCTTCCAGCCTCTGGGGTACTGTATGTACAGTACCCAGTGCATGCAGTCATACAATCGTACACATAAAATTTCAAACAACGCTTTTTCAAACAGAACCACTTACAGCCGGGCGGTGGTGGCGCACGCCTTTAATCCCAGCACTTGGGAGGCAGAGGCAGGCAGATTTCTGAGTTCGAGGCCAGCCTGGTCTACAGAGTGAGTTCCAGGACAGCCAGGGCTATACAGAGAAACCCTGTCTCGAAAAACCAAAAAAAAAAAAAAAAAAAACCAAAAAAACAAAAAACAAAACAAAAAAAAAGAACCACTTGGGCTATTTATCTTCAGACCTGAAAATTAATGTATTTCTCCTACCCTTTAAATACCTTTTCTATCTTTTAAAAGCACTATGAATTTGGGCCACTGAGTGGGCTCAGAAGATAAGGGTGCTTGCTGCCAAGCCTGACAACCTGAGTTCCATCTCCATGACCCACTTGGTAGAAACAGAGAACAGACTCCTACAAGCTATCCTCTGACCTCTATACAACTGTCTTGGCAAGTATATGCTACACACACACACACACACACACACACACACACACACACTACATGAAAAACTACATGAAAAATATAAAAACGGGGCTGGAGAGATGGCTCAGCGGTTAAGAGCACTGACTGCTCTTCCAGAGGTCCTGAGTTCAAATCCCAGCAACCACATGGTGGCTCACAACCATCTGTAATGAGATTGGATGTCCTCTTCTGGTGTGTCTGAAGACAGCTACAGTGTACTCATAAATAAAATAAATAAATAAATCTTTAAAAAAAAAAAAAAAAGAAAAGAAAAAAAAAAAAAGAAAAATATAAAAACATGGAGAACCCACTCAGATGCCTGTGGAAAACTCACTAATAAAATATTCCTAATAACTAAAAGTGTCGCAACACAAGCTGTTGAGATCGTTGAGCAGGTAGTCTGCAATCAAACCTGATAACCTGAGTTCCATCCTGAGCCTGAACGGCCGAAGCAGAGAAAAGACTCCTGCAAGAGGTCCTCTGACCTACACAGACGTTCACGATACCACATACCCACAGCCACACACATGCACGCACATAGATACACATGTGCATACACATACACACGCACACACAAATACAATTTTAAAAATTTTTTTACGACAATGTCAAAATATCCGACTATTGACTCCAGGAAACTATTAGCTGGTCCTGTTTCCTTCTAGGACCGTGTGAGGACAAACTTTATATACCGAACTTTCTTTCATAAAAATAGGCACTGACAGCCATTAAAGAAGAGGAGGAAAGAGAGGAGGAAGAGGCATGAAGAAGGGAGTGAAGGAGGAAGAGGAAGGGGGAGAGGAATGAGGGAGAAGGGTATGGGGAAGGAGGGGGTAAGGGAGAAAGAAAGAAAGAAGAGGACAAGGAGGAGGGGTCTGCTAAGCATGGTGACTCAAGTCTGTACTTCCATTATCCAGGTGGAGACGGGAGAATTATAAAGTCCAGCCTAGGCTACATAGTGAGATGTCATCTCAAAATAAAAGTTTAAAAAGGGCTGAAGGTGCTGGGCAGTGGTGGCACATGCATTCAATCCCAGCACTCAGGAGGCAGAGGCAGGCAGATCTCTGAGTTTGAGGCTAGCCTGGTTTAAAGAAAGAGTTCCAGGCCAGTCAGGGCTGCACAGGGAAACCCTGTCTCAAAACCAAACGAAAAGCAAGGAAGAGCACTGTAGATGCAGCCCAGAAGTACAGACGGCCTGCCCTACACATGATAGTACAAAGGCAAAACAAAAACAAAAATCCCAAACAATGGAAAGCCACCATTCACAGTGGCACTGATTGATCTTTCACAGCAGAAAGAGGCAACCTTTCCTAGTGATCACGTCAACTGGGCCATCTTTAATCTTTGCAAACGCACGACTTATTGCTTTGATAATATAAGACCAGACCGGTCTCCTGTGTTTCTGCACCATTCAAATTCCAATTCCCACCCAGTCAAAATAAACACGGAGACTGTCTACTGACGTTAACTGAGCAAACACTAGCTTTTGTCCATGCAAAGATAAATAAATAAATAAAACAAAAATCGGCCAGCGTTGAATATAGGTACACTCCTCTTTTCTCCAGCTGCTCTGAGCGTTCACGGCGCTAGCTACTGCCTTCAACAGAGCATCCTAACTCTAAACCTATCGTGGCAGTGGGGGAGCCAGCTCAGTCATTCACATCTTTGGGCTTCATCCCCTGTGGGGCTCCAAGGGGGGGGAAGAAAGGCTTTCGAAAAGGAGAGGGGGTTATTCAAAGTATAAGGAGTAGAAAGCATCTGTGCCCTTCCCCCCTCTTTACTATACCCAGAACAGTACAAACCAAAGAGGGATCTAATTAGTAAAGAACGCATTCAAACATGATTAATTGGTAATCTTGGCACCAGCTGTCTAGAACCAAATGCTATCCTTTATTAGACAGACACTTGCAGGTTTTACATCTGCTTCACGCTAAGAGAACATCTGCCTCGCTCAAACGCTTCCCCAGTTCTACGGCAATTTATACTTTGTCTGGTGGATCTCGCCAACGAAAACGTACATCAGCGGAAGTTACCCTCCGCAGAGCGCAAAGCGGACCAACACTCCGCATTTTAATTTGCATTGGTATTGAGCGGGGAGCAGTGTTTGGTGGAAGAATAAAAATGGGTCTGAAGATGATAACAGGGAGAAGCAGGAAGACGAAGACGGACGACCTGCATTCTTGTTCATCTGTGTGCATGTGTGTGTACACACTCACACGCACAATCCCGCAGAGCCGGCAGAGGGTGTCAGAGCGCTGGGAGCTAGAGTTCCAGGCAGTTATGAGCTGACAGTATAGGTGCTGGGAATTGATCTCAGGACCTCTGGAAGAGCAATAAGTGCTTTTACCCTCTGACCCATCTCTCCAGCCCTCTGAACTGTATTTTTAAAGATCTGCATCCCCAAAAACATTTCAGTAGCAGCTTGGATAGCAATGTAAGTACTAAAAGAGGAGAATAAGAGGACTGTTCACAGTTCATGATCTGGACCCCTGAGGGCACGCAAGCGTGATGCTGGCAATGTCCGGAAGGTTGTCAGGCCCTTTGAGAATAATGACACTCAACTCAGGAACACAGAAGGTTCATTTCTAAAAATCTCACATCAGTAACTTTTGTTGATAAAAACTGTTCCCTCCCATCTCCCGATAATTAGGCTGCTGGGAACGGAGAAGCCAACGACCCATTAACTCTCTGAAATGCTGTTTCAGAGTTAACAAATCATCTCACCAAGAATCGGGGAGTTCAAGGGAAGACAGCTGTGCAGAGCCCCGCACTGGGAACCATGCCCTTGGCAAACATATTTACGGCACGTACATGGTTTATTGTCTGGTTAAATTCCCATCCATCTGTTAGGATGGAAGCATTCCTGCCCTAGAGTTGACGAAAGCTGTGACACGTGACAGATGACAAGCAGGCTGGTGAGAAGGTTAAGTCTTGCAGGCTCTACCGGCTCCACTGGGCCTGCCCAGAAGCCACCAGCAGCATCTGTGGATTAACCCGATTTATTCCAGAGATACCTTGCTTTGAAGGAGTACGAAAATCCTGCAACATGAAACCTATGATACGGTAAACAGAAGCCCAAGAAAAACAGACTAGGAAGAAGCCAGGAAAGCCACACATGTTTTGAGTAGGTGGAAACAAGAGGTCGAAGAATCTAGTCCTGGACCCAAAAGAACAAGACCAGTACACAGAGAACAAAGGAAAAGGCACGTGACAGCTCACAACCTAAGGCCAGTTCCAGGGGACCCAACCCTGTCCTCTGCTTTCCACTGTCACCGGGCATGCACTTGGTGCACATACACCCATGCAGAAAAACACTTTGCATGTGTAAAATAAATCGATCTAAAAAAAAAAATTTTTTTTTTTCTGTTTTCAAAGTAGCTGGGTGTGAGTGTGGTGGCGCACGCCTTTAATCCCAGCACGTGGGAGGCTGAGACAGACGGATCTCTGTGAGCTCCTGGCCAGACAGGTCTGTATAGTTTGACCCTGTCTCAAAAGAAGATGGGGTGCTGATGCTGGTGGAGTGGTGT